AAGTCTAATATGGAATCCAAGTTTCTTTTCCAGCCTCAAGTGCGAGGGGCTGACTTTGGGCCAAAGCTGGTGGGGCCTTGGGGCTGTGTTGAGAAATATAGACTGCCCTTCGTCAACCCCTGCCAGCAGATTGCCAGAAAGACAGGCACCTTAGTTGGAACCTTCCACAAGGCTGGTTAACTGATGAGAACTTCAATGTCTGCAGGAGCAGTTGGAATGCTGAAGCCCAGAGCCTAATTTCAACTTATCTTGGATTATCTTTAGCTCCCTAAACAGCTCTTTCTTCCCTGTCTGTTGGACCTACCATCCTGTGATTAACAGATAAAGTCTTCTGGAATGTATTAGTAAAGTCATATCCCACCAAATAAAGTGCTAAGTGTTTCAGATAGCATCCAAGACCTCTCCTAGGTTGTGACCTCCTTGGTTCATGACTTCCTTTGCTCTGCTACTGTCAAATCTTCATAATCGTGATTCCAGGTTGGAATATTGAATTTGAGCTAGCCTAAGTCTGTGTTCCCAGGCCATGGTCACTCATATTTGGCTCCAGAATAAACTATCTCTTATTTCCTTTGAGGTCATTTTTCCATTGACAGACTGAATGGTTACCATTGGGTGCACATTCTTTTCTAGGCTCTGGGTGCCGGAGCCTGTAGGAGGTGCTGGATCTGGAGGCCATCTGGACAGTCCTAGAAACTCCTAAGGACACTTTCCTTCCAGATGGTTCAGACCAGCACTTTGCCCCTCAACAGAGCTGGTCTCATTTCAGGACAGTAGCCAGCTTCACACTCAGTTTGGAACAATCCTTTCCAAAAAAACAGTTCTACATCTCAAACCCAAATGCTCTGTGCACACCAGGCAACAGCTGTCACCAAACTCCAACTTCAGCCCTGCCAATTCTCCTGCACCCTGCAAGTTTCCCCGTTCTCTGGCTCCCTGCTAGCTTTCCCTCCAGGTGGACTTTGAACCAAGTCACGTGGCAACATGGATCCTGCAGGCTGCTCAAGCATACACATACACACACAGACACACACACACAGACACACACACACACACACACACACACACACACACAGACACACACACACAAGTACTCTAAGGCCCTGCACAGTGGTGCATACCTGTAATCCCAGTACCAGGGAGCCAATGGCAGGAATGTGAGTTTGAAGCCACCCTGTGTTCAAAGAAACAAAAATATTTCATTTTCCCCCCAAATTAAAAGCATATAGAAAGCCAAGGTGAGGTGGCACATACCTGTAATCCCAGAACTTAGAAAGTTCTAGCAGGAGATGGTGAGTTGGAAGCCAGCCTGGGCTACATCGGAAGACCCTGTCACAAACAACATCTCTAATCTTCACTCTACCTAGACAAAAGACTCATCTCACAGATTCCGACCCACCCATTAGACAACACTAATGTTTTTCTGCAGTCGTTTGTCTACCAAATGCCAGACACAGGTGGGTCAGGTGCACACACACACCTGGATCATGTTACTGCTGTGCAATGGTACTGAGGATCTCCTGGGGTACCCACATTTATGCTTGAAGATTTGTGGGAAGATTCATTGTGTGCCTCCCCTGTGTGTGCCACCATGGTTTGGCAAGTCACCAAGAGTGACATCAGCCATGGGAACTGCTGGGGATGAGCCAAGGAGCAAAGAAACACATTAGCATCTGCCTGAGTGGGTTTGCCAGAAACTGGGGTGAACTGTCAACCCTCATTCCCAGGGGCCTCCTTCCTCTCTTGAAACCCAACCTCCACCTGCAGGCAGCACCCCAAACCAGTCCTGACACAGGGCAAGAAGGGTTCCCCAGGCTCTGCAGACCCAGGCTCTCTCACCTCAGACCCTCCATGAACCTCAGAGTAACATCTGCCTTTCCTGTCCACCCCAGAGTCAGGCCAGCCCAGGGGCCTCAGCAGCAGGGCTCCCTCTCATGACCCCAGCTCCCTCATGACCTTTAAAAAGGAGTCAGGGAAGCCGGGCGGTGGTGGCACAAGCCTTTAATCCCAACATTCGGGAGGCAGAGGCAGGCGGATTTCTGTGAGTTTGAGGCCGGGCTGGACCGACAGCCTCCAAAACAATACAGAGAAACCCTGTCTTGTAAAAAAAAAAAAAAAAAAAAAAAAAGGAGTCAGGGAGCCCAGTAGTGGTGGCACACACCTTTAATCCCAGAACTGGGAGAGACAGGTGGATCTCTGTGAGTTCGAGAACAGCCTGGTCTACAAGAGCTAGTTCCAGGACAGGCTCCAAAGCTACACAGAGAAACCGTATCATGAAAAAAAAAAAAGAAGAAGAAAAAAAAGAAAGATGGAATCAGGGTGTGGATGGGCTTAGGGCTTCAGTGGGGGGGCTGGTTTGGTGGTCAGATAGGTGAACAAGTCAGCCCCCTTCCTGAGCCAGCACCCAGAAGACAACCAGGAAGTCCCTGGCTCCACCTGGCACAGCACCGAGCTGGTCTGAGATGTGGCATGTGCGTGGCTTGCTATTCCAGCAGGACTCCAGTTTTTTTTTTGTTTTTCATTTTTTGTTTGCTTGCTTGCTTGTCTTGTTTTTTTGAGGAAGGGTTTCTCTGTGTAGCCTTGGCTATACTGGCACTCGCTCTGTAGAACAGGCTGGCCTTGAACTCACAGAGATCTACGGTAGCTGCCTCTGCCTCCTGAGTCCTGGGATCAAAGGTTCGTACCACCACCGCCTGGCTCAGGACTCCAGTTCAGCAAGGGCTATGTCAGGGAAACCCAACTGCCAACCACTGCCCAAACTCCTACCTTGTGCAAGGACCACTCCAAGCACCTGGAGAGGCTGGAGTGGCCAATGGGGAAAAGGAAGGTTTTAAGCTGACATTTACCACAGCAGCAGAATGTGTACTCTGTCCTGAGGCCCCAGGATCAGGGTTCAGGAAGAGCAGCCCTTGCCCCTCTCCCCCAAGGTTCTGGGGTCCTCCTCCTGTCTCTCCCAGCTTTGTATGGGCCCAGGAGTTGCTCAGCTTGTGGCTGCCGCCTCATCACAGTCTCTTCTCTTTCCTCTCTCTTGTCTGGGTCTCAAACCTCTCACAGACATCATCCTGTTCCTCAATCCAGCCTCATCTTCAATTACAACCCTAAAGACACTTTTTCCAATGGAAGTCCAAGGTCTGGGCATGGACATCTACCTTACAGGAACTAATGTTCAGACCCCTTCATAGCCCACTTCACAGGGCCCGAGGAACATTCTAGAAGAATCCTGGCACAATTGACAGCTGGGACTAAGGAAGTAGCTCAGCAGGTACTTTCCAAACACACAAAGCTGGGTACGGTGCCCTAGGTATGGTGGTGTGTCCTAGGTATAGTGGTGAGTAGTGTGTTCTAGGAATGGTGTGTGTCCTAGTATAGTGGTATGTCCTAGGTATGGTATGTGTCCTAGGTATGGTGTGTGTCCTAGATATGATGGTGTGTCCTAGATATGGTGGTGTGACCTGAGTATGGTGGTGTGTCTTAGGTATATATGTACTAGGTATGATGGTGTGGCTTGGGGGGGTAAGGAATTCAAGGTCATCCTCAGCTACATGTTGAGTTCAAGGGCATCCTGGGCTACCTGACACTTGATGCTACTCAGCACCTCCTCTTCTTTAAGGAGTCACCTGAGGTAACCTCGCTCAGCCTCTATTTAATCTCTTCTGCGGTTCTCTAGGAATGAGGAACAAGGAGATTAAATCAGACTAAACCCAGGACATCCATCCCACAGAAGAGGCTTTTTCCCCAGCCTGGATGGTGCCCTGGGGCCTGGGGTGGCACTCTCCCTTCCAGCCCCAGATAACCCTGGAGTATAAGCAGAGTGCCAGGGTCCCACAGGACTGGGTGAAGTTGTGAAACAGACAAGTCCCCATAGACCAATCAGCAACAGAGCAGAAATATACACTACAGCTACAGGCTGGCTCCCTCCCCTGGCTCTCCTTCCTTCCCCACAGCCTCAAGCAAGGGCAGGATACAGTGGAGGGCAGGGGAGTCTTCAAGGGGTAGCCAGGTCTCAGCTTGCTTTCTTTTCATCTATCTATCCATCTATCTATCTATCTATCTATCTATCTATCTATCTATCTATCTATCGAGACAGGGCCTGTAGCTCAGGCTGGCCTTGTAAACTTACTATGTAGCAGGGGGTAACCCTGAACCTCTGATCCTCCTGCCTCCTCTCAAGGGCTATAATTACCATTACACCCAGCTTGTACAGTGCTGTCCCTTCTCCTATGAGGGATTCGGAGCTCAGACAGGCTAACTTTACTTAAGACACACAGCTATAAACAGAAAAGTAGGCGCTAAGAGCCACAAATGAAGTCCACCAAGGATGGGACCACCTCTGGCTTTGTGCCACCGGGCAGCATGGTCATGGCCTTGTGACAGGGGAGGGAGATTAGTCTCTTGTTTTTATAAAAATGAAGATACACATCTACTTCTATGGCTAAGAATTTTAAAATATAAGCCAGGAGTGGCAGCACATACCTGTAATCCCAGCATTCAGGAGATTGTGGCAGGGAGATTGCCACAAATTCAAGGCCAGTCTAGGCTACAGCGAGGCCCTGTCTTACTAGAGACAAAACAAAAGGCACTTCTAAAGCTAGCTATGGAGACTCAGACCTGAGTCAAATTGCTTGAGAGGAGGCAGGAGGATTTTGCAACTTCAAGGCCTCCCTGAGCCAGGGAGTGAGTTCGGGGACACCCTGGATCTCCTGGGCTGGAATTACAGGCAGTTGTGAGCTGTCCAATGTGGGTACTGGAACCAAACTTGGGTCCTCTGCAAGAATGCAGGGAGGGTTAAAAACTACTGAAATAGGTCATGGAACTATACATCTGCAACATTACCATTTCAGAGATGGCTGAAAGAAAATCAAGAGTTCAAGACCGTCCTCCCACATGACAACACCTTGAAGAGGGAAACCCATGTGCCCAGGGCCCAGCAGCTCCTTCAACAACTGCTCACTCTGAATTGGACAACCGCACACATACAAACCAGACAACCCAATTCTTTTTTCTTGAAAAACACATTTATTTCTGTAAACTGTTGGAATGCCAGAGATGGTCCTCACAGCCCCGTCCAGTGCAGTCTTCTTCCCCAAAATGAAAAGAGCGAGGAGAAAGGAAAAGAACCATCTTCACATGCTCAGGAGGAGCCAGGCCCGCCTCAGCTTTCTTTAAAAGCAAACAAAGCCATCTTTTCAAATTTGTGGTGCAGACTGAGATTCCAACTGCCGCCTTCCAGGTGCCGTGAGGCCAGTGCCTACCTCCCTGCTTGCAGGGGACCTTTCCATCGTTGTCACCCGAGGAGGACCTGAGTTTGACCCTGAACTCCCATCACAACGGGACTCAGACCTCTCATACTTCAGAAGGACTTCACCAAAAGGGTGAAGACTCACTGCCAAGCAAGAGTTAAGGCAAATTGTCACTTCGTACTCGGTCCACGCCAGACCTAAACCTGTCACTGCCAAGCAGCATCTACCAGACTCTGAACAGGGTGAGGGTGGGGCCTGGAGCCAAGTCTGAGGAGTATGTGTGAGCTCATGGAGGCTGTAAGGTGTGCACAGCTCCTGGCATGGCGGCCGGCATAGGGCTAGCAGGAAACAGCCAAGAAAAGCTGGGATGGTACCCAGGCCAGGCCCTAGCAAGCAGAGGCCAGGGTGTCTCAGACCAGGCAGGCCACAGTGAGGGCAAGGGAAATGACAGGCCAAGGGCCACTAACAGAGGCACCTGGGATCTGATGGTGTGCATGACCCTGGCACCAAGATGACTTTTCATTAAAACAAAAAGGGGGCGGGTACCAAAAAATGATGCTTGGTAAGCTTAAGAGAGCCACAGAGGGGCGAAGGGGTTGGGGAGGCAGGGGAGGGGCTACACACACTGGTGGTGCCGGTGCCTCTCATGGCTCCTCCTCCCTGGTGGGCTGGTGACTCGAGGTGGCAAGTCTCCTCCTAGGTGGTGCAGACAGATGGCTCTGGGGGTGGGGCTGGGGCTACTCTGTCTGAGCATCATAATTGGCCCCTCCAGCCTTCTTCAGCTCGCTCCTGATGAAGTCTTCCTCCAGCTCCTTCCGATCGCTGATCACAAACTCCTTTGCAAAATTCTGCAAGGACAAAGAAGAGCTCAGAGTTTCTGTGAGGGAGGAGGGGGCAGGTCCAGGGTTGCCCAGGCAACGCAGCAGGAAGCCCTGGCACCCCAGACACTCGCAGCGTAGTTCACTGAAATCATGCCAACAGAGCCTGTGCCAGAAGCCCGATCAGATGGACAGGGATGCCGTGTCCTGTGCCATGGCTGGACCCAAGCATGACTCCTGGACTGTCTTTTCCTAATTGTGTTATCTTGGGCAAGTCCCTCTCAACTGTCATTCAACTGTAAAAACCCTCCAGGGAGGGCATGAGGTTGGAAAAGCAGGCAGGGAGCTGACCAAAGTTTAACTCCAGAAGAGAAGGAAGGGGAAGGAGGAGCTAGGCATGGTGCCACATACCTGCAATCCCAGCACCCAGGAGGTTAAGACACGGGAACTACCATGATTCTAAGATAGTGAGACACTATCTCAAAAAAACACAGGAGGGATGGGTTAAGAAAGGAGGCTCTGCCTTGTGGCTACTGCTCATCGCACTGTTACTGCGGCACCTGGGGTGGAGAGAAGTCGGGGTGATAGGCTCTCGCACGCTGACTCAGACATTACTAGGCCTGAGCCCACCAAGGATATCCTAGCCTTTCCAATCACATTCAGTTCTGGGCAGGTGGGCAGGGCACTACTAGCATTCATTCTGCAACTTGCCAGGCTACAACTGGGAAACACACTGTTACTATTACATCTTGGGGCGCAAGGCTCTGCCCAGATAACCCAAGGGCCTGGCCCATGTGGGGATGGGCAAAGCAGGTGATATCTTATCAGATAACACTGAGCCATGAGGATTATGTTATTTTATATGTAGATTATAAACTATAATAAATGAAGAAAATCTCAAAGGAAGACAGAGAAAGCTGCCACAAGCATAGTCCAAAGGTTGAAAAATTATCCACATAAAGGAGCTGGAGGTGGCAGAGCAAACCTGTAAAACCAGCACCATGAGGTAGAGGCAGGAGACATGGGAGTTCATGGCCAGCCTCAGCCACGTAAGGGGTTCAAGGCCAACAAAGTTAAGAGGAGCAAGCGTATGCACACACACACTTAGTGCACATCAGCACACACATGTACCTCCACACTACACATCATACCCCCACATTCACACCAATACTGGGGCAGGAATCCAGAACCTAGTCTTGTTAGGCCCGTGGCACCACTATTAGTACTTCTGTATACACACACCAAGCTATGGTACCGAGACCAAGCCACAGTGTCAAATATGAGACCCCAACTAGGACCCCAGGGCTGTTTACCTGCAGATCTACCTGAGAGAAACTAAATCATCGTGGCTCAAAGCACACACCCAGATTCCCCAACAGCCAATCGCCCCAGATAGCTAAGCAACAGTCGAGACAGGCGGCACACAAAGCGTTCGGACATCCCACGCGGTGAAGCACGGGTTAGTCAGCAGTGATAAGGAATGGAGTTACGATGCCTGCTGCAACACGGCGGAACCCCTACCCATGAGCAAAAGCAGGCAGACATGAAAGGCCACCCACTGTCTGGTTCCACTGACAGGAAATGTCCAAAAAAGGCAAATCCACAGAGAGAGCAGACCAGAGGTGACCACGGGTGGGAGACAGAACAGGAAGTGACACACGTCACCTAAAATTGGAGGTGGTAAAACCGGTAGAGCTCTCGGAGGTGACTGCTAACCAGGAAGGACCAGAAAACCAGCTCCCTCCATGCATGAAGTACAGCTCTGCCCAAAATCACCCCAAGAGCAACTCTTCAAATCCCCAAAGACGATCAAGATTGTCTGCATTTTACAGACAAGACTGAGTCTGAAGACTACAAGGTCTGGCCAAGGTCACAGAGCTGGGAGACTGCCTCGGGCTGGGAGTGTGGCTCAGGGGTAGAGCACTTGCCTTAGCAGGCACGAGGTCCTGGGTTCAATTCCCAGCACCCCTACTCCCGTACTACTACTACTATATAGATATAAAGAAAGAATGACAAAAACAAAAAAACCCTTGGGAACGAGGAAGGGGTAGTTAAATGGTTAACTTTATATTAAATGGCTTTCACATCAATAAAAACAAAATAAGCAAAGTTGCCATAGCACCTGGAGGACCAGGTTCTCAGCTTTCTAGAAACCAAGACAAGAAGGAATCTAGAAGAAGGGTTAGTACCAGTCAAGAGGGACAGTCCCTCACACTTTCTGAATCCACCCTGGATACACTGGCCTTTTTCATAGTTAAGATAAGACCCCACCTCTGGGCAGAGCTGAGACAGCCTCGTCCAGCCCCAAAGGTAAAGAAAGACCCTTCCCACAAGCCCCACTGGCCAGCACTGCTAAGTATATGCACGTGACCCAGACAGTGGAAGACAGTGGCCCTTAGTCAACTCGCAGCCCAGCCGCACTGGGGAGGGGCAAGAGGGCCCCAGCAAGGAAGCCAGGCGTATGAGAAGCCTATAGAGGAAGTTCAAAGTCCTCTGCCTGTTGACATCCATATATGGCAATCTAAAGAAGAAAGAACCTGAAGTCTGTGTCAGGAACAGGCGATTAGGGAGATGCGATAAGGGTTAAGAAATCTAAAGGGAAGTGTTAGGGGCTGGGTGCAGCTCCAGCTAAAGCCACAAGAGTGTGGGCCATCACATGACAATCAGGCAGTATGGCGCTCACACCTACATGACAATCAGGCAGTATGGTGCTCACACCTATAATCCCAGACGCCTCGAATTACAGAACTCTGGAAACTGCTCATGAGTTGGAAGCCAGTTTGGGTTACATAGCAAAACTGTTTCAACAAAACAGGACCTGGGGAGGCGGCTCAGAGGGCCGAGTGCTTGCCCAGCAGGTACAGAGACCTGTGGGTTCAATCCCCAGCACTGCACAAACCGGGATGATGGCTCAGGCTTTGTAACCCCAGCAGGGGATCAGAAGTCATGACTGGGTGGGGAGATGGCTCAGCAGTTGAAGGCACTTGCTGTGTGGCCTGATGATCTGAGATCCCCACAGGGGAAGGAAAGACCAAGCCTTGTGCATAGTCCTGTCTCCACATGCTGTTGTGGTGTGCACAAGTCCACACACAAAGTTAATAGATGAGGAAAAAACACCTAAGGCTAACCTCACTGCATATGGAGTTCAAGACCAGTCCAGGCCATCAGACTGTCTCAAAAAGATCAGACCAGTGAGCCATATATAGTAATAAATGTAAATGGGCAAAATCATCTAAGCTTCCCACATATATAACATGCACATGCACACATACACACAGTCTCAAACTATAAAAAAATTAAAAAAAATAAACTCAACCTCAAACTTTGAGGCATTCTTAAAACCAAACAGCCACAAAGCAAATGCTTTCAACTTTACATAGTTTACAGGACAGCTGAGTCACCACATGCATGATGATGTCCTGTTGGGTCAGGCACACAGAACACTCTCTCCTCTCTGTTGCCACAGAAGACAGGAAGAAGGAGACTTGACTGAAGATGTGCTTTTTTTGTTTGTTTGTTTATTTGTTTTTCCAGACAGGGTTTCTCTGTATCATTTTGGAGGCTTCCTGGAACTCACTCTGTAGACCAGGCTGGCCTCGAACTCACAGAGATCTGCCTGCCTCCGTCTCCCGAGTGCTGGGACTAAAGGCGTGTGCTACCAACGCCCGGCCAAAGATGTGCTTTTATTACTGCTGCCTGTAGAGGCCTGAGCTGGGTCCTCCAGGATTGTAACTGTAGAAAAGTAGCATGGGGTGTGGGTTACTGTTCCAGCACCCTGTCATGTCATTCTACTCCAGAGTCAGAGAGCGGAATAGAGTTCTAGCTCTTGGCTGACTGCTTTTCTCTTATAGTGACCAGGGCAGGTTTAATGTTTCTGAGGCCAATTGTGCTCAAGCCACGCCCATGGTACCCAGGCAGACCGTGGATTTGCAGACACCTTGGACTGAAGGTCTCATCCACAGCCAGCCAGGCTGCAGCCTCACGGTGAGCCTAGCTGGAAGCTGACAGATCTGGCTCTGCTCCCCTCACCCCACAAGAGCCCAGGAGATGGACCTGCGCACACTGCCCAGCTGAAGTCAGAGGTGTCTGCAGACAATGGAGAAGGTGCTGCCTCTGGGGCTCCCATCTCCCCAGCAGCAGACTGGAAGATGGCAAGGCCCAAGAAGTCATTCACCTACCCCTCGGTCCACAGTGAGGACAGCTGAGGCTCCATGCAGTTGAACAAATGGCAGTCACTCACAGACTTTGACGACCACCACCCCCAACTCCGTGCCCTCCAGGAGCCTCACAGACCTCCACACCTCTTATGAGCCAACCTTTCCCTATATACCTTTCTGAATGAGGTTTCTCCATTTCCATCCCAGCCCACTTATGGGCTCCTGGCACCCATGTAGAGGCAAAGTTGAGGGACATCTCTTCCCCACTATTCCAGGGGCAGTCCTGGCACCCATGTAGAGGCAAAGTTGAGGGACATCTCTTCCCCACTATTCCAGGGGCAGTCCCTCCCTATTTGGGGAAGCGGAAGAGGCAAGAATTTTGTGATGGCATCCCTGGTGGGCCAACGGGTCATTTCCCCCAAAAAAAGGCTTGCACAGGTGGCACATTCTTCCCATCTAGGTGTGAATTCTACAAAGCTAGAGTCCTCTGAGAAGAGGGAACTTCAATTGAGAAAATGGCTCGGACTGTAGGAGCCAGGTGTTGGTGGAGCACGCCTTTAATCCCAGCACTCGGGAGGCAGAGGCAGGCGGATCTCTGTGAGTTCGAGGCCAGCCAGGTCTACAGGGCAAGTTCTAGGACAGCCTCCAAAATAATATGGAGAAACCCTGTCTCGAAAAACAACAACAACAAACAAACAAAAAAGATCGGACTGTAGGTAAGTCTAGAGAACAATTTCTTAATTAATGATTTATGGAGGAAGGCTCAGCCCGTGGTGTGTGATGCTAGCTCCTACATTCTAAGAAAGCAGACTGAGAGGAAGCCATAAGGAACAAGTCAGCAAGCAGCACTCCTCCATGGCCTTTACATCAGCTCCTGAGTCCAGGCTCCTACCCTGCTTGTGTTCCTGCCCTGACTTCCTTCAGTGACGAACTATGATATGGAATTCTAAGCAAAATAAACCCTTTTCTCTTCAGCTTGATTTTCGGCTATAGTGTTTCATCACGGTAATAGAAACCCAAAGACAGGTACCAACCTCAAAACTTACGTGAAACGAACCCCGCCCTCGGCCTCCACTCCTACAGAGCAGTCAGCTTCAGACCTAAGGGCGTCACCAGCACCAGTAGGGAGTCGCCGGTGCCACAGGGGAGCTGCCTTCCTAGTGTGTTTGTAAAAAGGGCAGAAACCAAGCAATATCACTGGGCAGATGAAGCGTGACCCAGGAGCAATGCCAGGACCAGAAAGAACAAGGAGCTGCTCACCTGCGTCACCTGTGCCAAAAGGCCACCTCCCACCCACCTGCCCCCTAAACACACATAGACACACACACACACACACACACACACACACACACACACACACACACAGACAGACACACACACACAGACAGACAGACACACACACACAGACACACACAGACAGACAGACAGACACACACACACACACACACACACAGGCCATCTAACAGCCACAAGGCGAGGAGGTGGCAAGACCCAGGCCAGTCCTTACTGAGAAGCGTTTTGATGACACACACGCAGCCTTATGTAAAGAGAAGCGGGTGACACTGCAGCAGCCCCGATTCACCCACAATCAGCACTCACAGTCCCTGGCACTCAGCTTGGCCATCAGGTGTGTCACAGGTCAGCAGCAGCAGTGATCAGAATACTGCGGCTGCTGGCGGCTGGAAAGAACACAGTCTAGTCTGCAAGCAGAGTGATCACACAGAACAGTCTCCCGCCACAGAGCCCTGCAGTTGACCCACTCAGGGGCAGCAGGGCCTGGCAGGGGTGTGAGGGGACAAATGTCCCTTCCTTCAACCTGGTGGTGGCTTCATGGGTGTTCACAGGGGAAGCTCGACATGTTCGAAAGTCACCCAGCTATAACCGTCCTGTGGTTCAAGACAACGTGGGAGGATGGAACCAAATCAACAAAACCCACTAGCCCTGCCAACCACCTCTGCTTGGGATAGAGGACCAGAGAGGGGAAGTGACTCACCTCAGGTCACAAATAAAGAGCTCCATGTTAGGCCCGTCCTCTCCTTACCCTCCTCCGAGCTGATCTAGACTACCAACTCCACCCACACCCCCATACAAGAAGCCCCAAGGCTGGCTGCCCAAGCTACCTGTAAGAGTCCAAAGCTCAAAACGCCTGTCTGTGCACTGTCACCTGGATCCTCTAGTGTTTTGTCCAGGACTGTCCCATCCCTCCCAAGGCTTCTAAACAGGGACTTCCCATGCTTTGCCCAGTGGGACTGTTCAAAGTAGGCTTCTTCAGCCACGTCCAATTCTGGTGGCTTCAGGTTTCCATCAAAATGGCCTGGAAAGGTGGCTAAGGACAGGCTTTGTCCCCACGACCTTCCTCAGAAGCTAAGCAGACCCCAGGTTGCTCTCCTTGAGAAAGTGATGCCAGTGAAGGGCAGGTTAGGGAGTAGGTCTGTGCCTCTCTCTCTCTCTCTCTCTCTCTCTCTCTCTCTCTCTCTCTCTCTCTCTCTCTCTCTCTCTCTCTCTCTCTCTCCCTTCCTCTCTCCCCCCCTCTCACACACACACACACACACACACATACATGCACGCACCTCTGTTTACAAGGTTAAATTAAGATAAGCATAAATATTCTCCTATCCTTGATTTTAAATTGTCCACCCCACCCCACCCCCCTTTTCAGAGAGTTTCACATATCCTAGGCAGGCCTTAAACCTGCTGACATCCAAGGATGACCCTGAACTTCTGACCTTCCACCACAGGTGTGATTACAGTGTCTGGTTTATGTGGTGTTGGGGACCCACTGAGCTACACCCCCAGTGCCCAACTCTTTTTTAA